GGGGGGGGGGTGCGGGCACTGGGGGCTCTGCTTCTAGATAGAGCAGCCACAACCTGGGATTGTTGGTTGTCATGGCAGATGGACAAAATGCTCACTGTTGACACATGTTCCTTCTGTTCATTTTGTTAGCCAGTGCCTGTCACAAGGCCACTCCTGACTTCAAATGGGTGAGGAAATACAGTCTTACCCTCTGAGGGGGAGAGGAGGAATATGTGTAAACAGCTCTAATGACCACCGCAGTGGCAGAGGCAGGATCTGATGAGAAAAGTCTTCTCCTCCCACTCACAGAGCACCTCCTGGGGGCCAGGAGTAGTGCTGTGTTTTACAGATATTATGTCCAGTCCTCATGACAACCCTGTTAGATACTACTGTTATCTTCATTTCATGGATGAAGTTATTGAGCCAAGAAAGGTCTTGGGTCAGATATCACAAGGAATTAAAAAAATGGTGCCTTGCCCAACTAGTGTGGTTCAGTGGTTGAGCATCAACCCATGAACCAGGAGGTCATAGTTCCATTCCTGGTCAGGGCACATGCATGGGTTTCAGGCTTGATCTCCAGCAGGAGGCTTGATCTCTCTCCCTCTCCCTTTTTCTCTCTGAAATCAATAAAAACCATATATATTTTTTAAATGGTGCCTTGTGCAGCCCTGGGGTCAGCCTGACTTGGGAGACTCTTTTTCCATCTGCCTTAAGGACTTCCAGTGCCACAGAAGCCACTTCGGTTTTAGAAGAAAAGAACCACATACATTTCCAAAAGATTAAAACTTTATTTCACCATGCGTTTATTAATTTGTTAACAAAAGAGGTAATAATTCCTCATTGTTAAAACTCAGACAGTACTTACAGGTTTGAAGTAGAAAGTAAAAAAGTGACTAATAAAACATCTGGAGAGAACCACTGCTAACATTCTCGATAGGTCCTTCCAGACACGTTGGCTTATAACTTTCTTCACATAACAATACATTGTGAACATCTCTCCAGTAAATACACTTCATTTTTAATGGCTGCATAATATTCTATTCACTGTGACAGTTTAGTTTGAGCCCCTTAATGATGAACATTGATCTTGTTTCCAGTGTATCACTTTTTCCGGTTTCGAGTTTCATTTCTTTCTTGATAGTGAGGGCTAATATCTTTTCCTATTTTTTATGACCCATTCATGTCTTCACAGATGAGAGACGCTGTAATGGTCAAAGGTCTTTAATCAAACATTGCTTCCATTGTTACCTCCTTTCTTTCCCTTTCCCCCGCCAAAGGCTATTAAAATGTTTATGTTCCCAGAGTCACAAGCCAGGGGTTTTCCTTGGCATTTCTTTCTGGTTTCATGTAACTTTTCTGAAAGTCCCTGGTAAACTGCTCTCATTTTTTCTTTTGCCTTTTTTGGCATATCTATCCCTTATTCCTTGCTTTGGTCTGTGTTTGCATGTTCGTACTCTAGACCAGCGATTTTCAACCTTTCCCTCTCACTGCACACACAGACGATTACTAACATTCTGCAGCACACCAAACAATATATTTTTTGTGTCGATCCGACACAAAAAATTAGGTATAATTTTGAGTCATTAGCACCGGACGGCGATTGTGTTGGCTGCTGTCATTTTTTTTTTTTTTTTAATTGGACAATCTAAGGGAAAGAGGTCAGTTCCCCTGACTAAATAGTCAGGTTTTGAATGCTTTAAAAATCCTTGCGGCGGTTCGAGACCCCTGAAATGGTTTTGTGCATTTCCCGGCTGTCACCCCTAGGGCAAGGCACTCACCCCCTGGCACCTCCGCCTCCTCCCTTCTTTCTAAGCAAGTGCCCGGTTCTCAGACCACCGGTGCCCACCCATCGCACGTGCCCTCCTCGCCCGGAGCGGCCTTCACGGTCCCCTGCGGTGGTCGGCAGACCCCGCGGAAAAGCCGCTCTGGGGAGCCGGTTGGGGCCCCTCGCCTGTGCCAAGATGAACTGCTCTATCCCCCGAGCTCCGGGGCGCTCTGCCGCCCCCCAGCAGGCGCCCGTGGTGCGCCCCGGAGTGCTGGGCAGACCCCAGGCACGAGCCTCTGTCCCCCCTCCAGGGACGCTCGGCCTGGGGACACAGGAAGGTCAAGGCCACGCTGCGGCCCACCCCGGGCGGCGAGCGCTGCAAGGCAGGTGCGCGAGGCTCCACGCGGTCGGACCGCACGCCAGGGCAGCGGCGTCCACCGGTCCTGGAGGCCCGTGTTCCACTCACAGAAGTCCGTCCATTTTTAAATTCACCTTCTGGTCCGGGCGGAATGCGCCGCGCGCGGTCCTGGGTGGGCAGCCGGCCCCCACCCGCGTGGTGAACGAAGGTCTCGGGCGTGCTCAGGGCGGGGGCCGTGGGTGCGCGCGGGGCGCAGGTCCCGCCCCATCACCCCTGCTTCCCGGAGCCAGGCCGCTTTCCACACCTCTCCCCCCGAAAGGGACGCCCGGTCCCCTCCGGGCTTAGAAGCAGGGACTATTTCGCGGAAGCCTGGAGAGGACGGCTTTTCAGAAACGGCGGTGGTCGGTCAGAGACCCGCAGGGTCCCGGCGGCTGTGGGACGCGCGCACTTCCT